CTATTCCCAGTCCCCAAGAAAGGCAGCGACAAATTGAAGTGGAGTTTAGATCTTTCCGTCCTGAACAAGTTCATTACCAAAACAGGTTTTAAGATGCTCACTTATGATCATCTGAGGCATCTACTTCCTCCCAATGCTTGGATCTCAAAAGTGGATCTCGAAGATGCCTATTATCATGTTCCTGTTGCTCCCAGGTACAGAAAGTTTCTATTGTTCGCAGTGGGGGATGTATGTTATCAATTGACAGTGATGCCATTCGGCCTAATAATTGCGCCAAAAGTGTTTACAAAACTGGCATACATCCCCAGAGAGATCATTGTGAAGGAGGGCATAAGAACTTTTGCTTATCTACGATTGGCTGATAGTGGGAAACTCTTTCGAAGATTGTCAAAGGGCGACCCAACGTACACTAGTACTATTTCAAAACCTAGGATTAAGGATAAACCAGGTCAAATCCAATCTCATACTATGTCAAAAATTGGATTGGTTAGGTCTCCTTTGGGACACAAATCAGCAATCAGTCAGTCTACCAGAAGCAAAAGTAACAGGTGTGATAAACCAAGTAGAAGCCTTTTGTGTAAAGCAAGAGGTTTCTTGGCACAATTGGAAAAAACTACTGGATCTGTTGAATTTTGCCACCATAGTAGTTCCTTTGGGCACGTTAAGGAAGAAGCAACTAACTCATCTGGGGTTGAAGTTGCTTCACAGAAACGGAAATATTGCTTCTTCTCTCCCTATTCAGATCAAGAATCTTCTGCCTTGGTGGAAAAATTTGGACAATCTAATCGGTTCATCTCCCTGGGTTCCTACTCAAACAGACTTGGTTGTTTGTACGGACGCATCCGAAATAGGATGGGGAGACCATTCCTCAAAAGGTGAGTTCTGTCAAGGGATGTGGAGCAACTCCCTTTGGGATAACCCCATAAACGTAAAACAATTAGCAGTAATCCTATTCTTTTTGTTGGCAAACCCAAATTTAAAAAATATGATGATCCTGTTTGCCATGGACAACAGAACGGCAGTGTTTTGTCTCAATCATCAAGGCTCAACCAGATCTTGGACTCTTATAAATCTGTCGGAAATTTTTTCAGAGTTTGTGTAACGCAAACACTTTACCTAAAAGGAAATCACATACCGGGAGTACAAAACAATTGGGCACATGTGTTGTCCCGTCTCAGGCCAGTATCGACGGAAACAGAATAGTCCCTAAAGATATTGAAGTTCAAGAGTAGTGAGAAGGTTTGGACTCCACAAATAGATCTCTTTGCCTCACAAGATGCCAATTTATGCACCTCTGGAACGGTCGAATATTTTAGGAAATGCTCTACTCATACATTGGAACAATTGGAATTCAATCTATCCGTTCCCACCTGTGAAAATGTTGCCCAAAGTGGTTCACAAACTCAGATCCTTCCAAGGAAAGGTCCTCTTAATTGCACAATATTGGATCCTACAACTGTGGTGTCTCGATCTGTTGGACTGGTGGCCGCATGCACAACAATTGCAACAAGGATCTCGAGACCAGGTACTGCACCCTCAGTTCGAGATATCCTTGGCGCTTCACGCTTGGAGTTTCTCAAAAGGTGTTTAAATAGATTGTTGGGTAATTCCACTATATCGTTACGCAGGTCATAGACCCCAAACTTCTATGCAATATGAGAAAGCTTGGAAACCTTTTCAACACTTTATCAGGTTAACGACTCTAATAACATTGTTGGAAACAGTGGTGTTAGAATTTTTAGATTTTCTGTTCAGAGTTAAAGGCCTTCAAGGATCGACAATTGCATCTTATAATTGCATTGGTTGACCCTCTGGCATGGGGTTTTAATATTACTTTGAACCCAAGAATTTATCAAATGCTCAGATCGTCATGTTTTACTCAGACCCCCTCGGCCTAAAAGAATCCCACCTTAGTCTCTAGATAAAGTTACTAAATTTCTTAAGGGGCCTAATTGCAATATAAATCTGAACCGGGACAGATTTCTCCAGAAGGCAGCCTTCCTCCTAGCAATAGCAACAGTTATGAGAATCAGTGAACTGATTTCAATTTCCAATAATCCATCATTATTGGTATTTTCTGAGGAAGATGTCACCTTTTTTCCTCCGGAGATCCGAAGAAAAAATTAAAGGGAGGATTTTCAAGCTCTACCTATCAGGATAAAACTGGTAATGGATGAGACAAGGGTTCCTCATATATTGTGCCTAGTTAGGGATCTTCAAGAATGGTTAACCAGATTCCCTAATCGAGGCCCCTATGTATTCTCATCACAGGATGGTAAGAAATTGTCTCCTAGTCAATGACAAAATATTTATCTCAGTGAGTAAAGCAGACCCAGGCAAGAAATTTTTGGCACATGACACCAGGAAATAAGCAGGGTCGGTGGCCCTTCTGTGGCATATGAGTCTCAGTCAGATCAAAGAATTGGGCTTTTGGAAATCTTCAAAAACCTTTCAAAACAGCTATCTTCATCTATCTCTGGAAGCTGCTTCACATTGGTGGTTCTGGGGTCCCCTCCCCCACCTAGTCAATCTTCACAACCAGGACCTTCTTCCTTCATCAGAGTAAAGTGAGTATCCTAATTGGGATATATTAATTAACATTTTACCTTCCGGTAAATGTTCCTAATATTAAAATAAAAAAATAAATAAATAACAAAATTTTTTTTATTATAATCTGGACCTAAGCTAGCGGAGCCTTATATGTAATGTCACCTCCCTCTCCACCTCCTACTCGGGTAATCAAAGCTAGATGTCGCATTCTGGATTAAACAAAAAGCCGTTTTTTTTTTCTTCTAAAAACCAGTTTTTGTGATATAGTCCAGAATGCGACGTCGACATCCCACCCATTTCCACCTCTTGAGAATTTACATTTGTTTACTGCTCGCTCTAGGGCAACAGATGACGGTAGCAATGCATGTGATGGAGGGTGGGGTGCGGGGTTTAGAGAATTGCAAATAAATGCCAGGTAGCGACGTGTCCTCCTAATATTACATATTAAGTAATTATTAGATGTTTTAATTGCCTGTATGTTGGCCTGGCGAGTTATTGCTAGGCATTAACATACCTAGGTATAAGCTAGACGTTGCATTCTGGACTATATCACAAAAACTGTTTTTTAGAAATAAATGGCTTTTTTAAAACCCTTAGGCCCCGGGTGACGTTCCAGAACGTCCGACTGGTGCACCCCGGGTGACGTTCCAGAATGCACGCCTTTTCCCGCCACTGTTTAAATGCCCAGAGTGGGTTATCAGGTTCCCGTGTGACTATTTGTTTGTCACGCCACACCTCGGCCACTGGGAAGCTTCCTGAACGTAATAACATACTATTGTTTGTTTCATTTTAATTGTTTGTCCATTTTATCATGTTGTATCAAAGTAATATTGCTAAAAGTAGTGTACTGTAGTTGTTTTGTAGTGAAGTATTACTGGAAAATAATACTATGATTATGTTATAAATGTTTTTATTTGTGGAATTATTATTATTTTATGTATTACTTGCTCTACCAAACACAAAGACAGCCAGAGAGCTGGCGATAGACTGCTGTGTGTCGCCAGGCACTCTTTATGAAAAATAATGCCAAAAAATAAATTCTAAATGAATTATTTATAGGAGATAAGCATTATGCTCAGTTAATATATGCATTATTGGCCACTTTGGACACAAAGATGGGCTAAAAATAGCCCTCTTATCTTGTGGGGTACGGGTTGTTTTGTTCACACTCAGGATGGGATGGAGAAAGGAAACTCACAATGTGCTTTCTGTATACATATTATATTGGATGTACAATGCAGCTTGGTGGCTGGAAGCAGCGTGGTTACAAGCGTGAGTAGGGAGAGCTGGTTGGTGAGGGTGCTCGGAGGAGGTGTTGCTTGCTGCAGCTGTAGCTAGAAGAAGGGGCAAGTCACTGCCAGGTGTGGTCTTGTATAGCGGGGGTAGGCGTGGCCTGATGGTAGGCCCCCGCTTTGTTCGGCGTCGCTGGTTACCTGACCTTGACCACGAGGGATACGCTGGTAGATTCGCGGGGGGTCGGCCAGTCAGCGACACACGGCATTTGTAGGGAAGGAATCCACTACAATCTCACCCCCTCTTACGAGCGGTCAGAGGGAAGCTTCTTGGTAAATAATTTCTTTTGTTTGTTTATTTTCATTGTTAATCTATTTATCATGTTGTATCAAAGTCATATTACCAAAAGTTGTCTGTGTGTGTGTCGCTGAGAACTTCTTATGAAGAGTGATGCAAATAAAACAAAGTCGAAATGAATTATTTAAAAGAAATATGTATTATGATCAGTAAATAAATGCATTATTGGCCAACTCGGACACAAAGGCAAGCAGGAAAATGACCCCTAAGTGCGTAGTGACAGCGCTCGATGTAAACAAAAAAACTCCCCATATTTGTCTCGTCACTGAGGCGCCATGGAAGAATATATAGGGACAATGTATTGTTTTCTTGTGTCTTTTTTATTTTTTATCATTAATAAAGGTTAAAGATTATTTTTGGAAAAGTTGATTTTTTTCATTTTCCCCCGCGGTGGGGGTATGGCCGGCGGCACCCTAGCCCGGGGCGTAAGGGTTAAGAAGTAAAACAAACATTCGACTGATTTTGTGTGAGTATCTAGAAGCAGAACTGAATATAGTCTACTGGTAGACTGAGGGTAACATATGGACGACCCTGGAAAGAAAATTGAACCTAGCCGAAGGAAGAAAATGTCTGGTATGAGATCCAGATTCAAGGATCTGTACCTGTACATTACTTAGGTTGTTCACTTAGGAATGTAATTGATATAAGTACTGTATAGAAGAAGAAACTGACCAGTATGGTGACAAATATAGGTCAGTGTAATGGGGTCTTTTCCACTAAGAGTAGGCTGAAGGTGAAGCAAAGGTGATCATTAAGGGCAGAGAGAAGTTTATGAATTATAACTATTAGACTTTGCAGATCAGGTAAAGGTAGTGATGCCTTGCTACAGGTAATTAACTTTATATTTTCTTTGTATACAGGTACTCGTCCACTGTACTCGGTGAATGGCTACAAATGCATCCCATTCATATACAAAGATGTAATGCACCATGGCTGTATTAAGGAGGATGGGAAAAAGCCCTGGTGTGCTATAGAAATCAACCCAATTACCAAGAAAGCTACAAATCAGGACTGGTGCCCTGCTGATTGGTGTAACTATCAAACATTTTTAATCTAATTCTCTACCTTAAACTACAGTTAAGGATTGCCTACCCTGCCCCCTTATGTGCAAAAATTAAATTCAAAGAACATGAAATGTCTGCTGTTCTTTCAGCTAATTTCCACTGATGATGGCTGCCATTTAAGGATTAAGTTTGGGGCTTTAGAAGCCTAGGAATGCCTAAACATATGACAGGTGGAGCAATAATCAAAAGATTAGTTTTCCTTGTAGTGAAAAGGAGTTTAAGAGGACACTGGTTCTGAGTGTTAGCAAGTTAGAAACATAGTTTATGCACAACCCATTCAGTTGAGGCTCAGTAACAACTTATTTCCATAACCTCTCCTTACTCTCCCAGCCACCTGCAAAGCAAACTGGTTTCAGGTCCATGTTATTCATTTAATTTAAGTGCCAATTTCTTAGTGCACTTGAAACTTTCTTAAAGTGCGGAATGGGGATGTGCAGTTCCAGATGTTGCTTTTAAGGTAAATGTGGATTTTCACTTTCCATTTTGAAGTACAGTCAACCCTCACTTTACGCGGTTAATGTAACCCACAGGGTACAGCGGAAAGTGAGAAACGCGTAAAGTGAATAACATAACATATGGGATTAAATGAAATAGAGACCAGCTAACCCCCAAACTCCACTTTTTCCAACACAATACCTATGTTCTAGTAAAAATAACATCTTAATTTTATGATGGTACATGCACACAATTAATACTTAAGAGAAATAGAGAAATACAGTCGCCAAGTTAATGTCCATTCAAATAATGGACTCAACTCCCTCCCCCTCTTCTCACACTACACTCCTGGCTCTTCCCTCTCTTGAGAAATTTTTGGGGGAAAACCAGGTATAGTAATAAATAAAACCTCAAACTAAAGTTAGGATAATATAATTGACATTGCTGGATTCCTTGTAAGACCAGGAATATTTTGAATATAAATGTCATATATTTTGCACAAAAGATAACATATTTACTCAGAGTAAACATTATATAAAAAATTTGTATGTCTAATGCAAAATCTATGATGTTTATATTCAAAATGATCATCAAATTGTAAGAATTCCAGCAATGTAAATTATATTCTGGCTGGGTAATTTGTATGAATTTTATGAGCTAAAACAAATATCTTCAGTTAATAAAAAAAAAATATTCTTCACGACACTCTCTGTCAATCAAAGTACCCCACCTTGCCTCCCCCCTCTGCCAACCCAGCCAGATGGTCGGTCGTCCCAACCCTCCCCCCCACCCCCCACCAACCCTCCCTTCAAGAGAAAGGGTGGTTGAGAAAACTAGATTTTAACATTTAGTATTAAATAATACCTCAGATTAAAGTTAGGATAATATAATTGACATTGCTGGATTCCTTGTAAAACCAGGAATATTTTGAATATACAGTAAATCATATATTTTGCACAAAAGATAACATATTTACTCAGAGTAAACATTATATCTAAAATTTGTATGTCTAATGCAAAATATATGATGTTTATATTCAAAATGATCATCAAATTGTAAGAATTCCAGCAATGTAAATTATATTCTGGTCGGGTAATTTGTATGAATTTTATGAGCTAAAACAAATATCTTCAGTTAATAATAAAAAAAAATATTCTTCACACCCTGGTGCCAGGGGGTCGGTCGCCGGTCCCTCCCTACCAGATGAATGTGTGGGAATACCAGACTGTTTACCTTTTTAGTAATAAATAATAAATCAGACTAAAGTTAAGATAATATAATTGACATTGCTGGATTCCTTGTAAGACCAGGAATATTTTGAATATAAATGTCATATATTTTGCACAAAAGATAACATATTTACTCAGAGTAAACATTTTATCTAAAATTTGTATGTCTAATGCAAAATCTATGATGTTTATATTCAAAATGATCATCAAATTGTAAGAATTCCAGCAATGTAAATTATATTCTGGCCGGATATTTTGTATGAATTTTATGAGCTAAATAAAAAAATTATACTTCACCCATGTAAAAGGGTACACCCACCGCGGAATGTGAGCATCCTGGGTTCTGGCAGGGCACCGTGTAAACGTGGAAACGCGGAATGTGGGACCACGTAAAGTGAGGGTTGACTGTACTGTTCAGCATTTATCTTTTATCAGTCTGAGAAGGTGTGACAGTTGGGTTTTGTCTGTTCATCAAAGCATTTTGTCATGAACCGTGGTGCATGAGTAAGAGCTTCTCATATGTAAGCAAATTTTTTATTTATTTATTTATATTTTATATCTTCGGTATTTGTTTGTTTTTGACTTGTTGTACATTATTTGCATATGGTGAGAGTCATGGATGGGATTGATGATATGATGCTGTAAGTACAGTAGCCAGCATGGAATACTGTAATATAAAATATGGTCTCTGACATGTTATTGGATTAATCATCAGAGTGTTGTGTACAGTAGGTTCTTTTGTGTTGTTGTTTAGAAGCACTTCAGTGTCGTGGTCTAGTTCATAGTGTTCTTGAGAATTTAGGCTTCGTTGTATGCTAAACTCAAGGACATGAACATGTGTTTCCAAGATGCTAGTAACCCCCGAGTTAATCTGCTCCTACATTCTCAGATGATTGACATCCTTTAGTATAGTGACAGCAGAATTATGTGATTTAATGTGTGTGTGAGCAGTACCAGATACACAAACATTTTAATTTACTATATTACTAACTATCACTTATATCTGGAATGGAATTTAGTTTGCATTAATTTATGATGGAAAAAATCTGTATTGACAACACTTAAAAGAAACTTTGTGTTACGAGCCCACAGCCTTGCCGGCGGTACACAGGATGTCAAATCCACCGAACATTGCCCGTTAAAGTACCTGTAAAAGAGAGAGAGTGAAGCAACACTGAGGTGAAGAGAAAGGGAAGAAAGATTAGTTATTAACTAAAGGAGGAGGGTTAATAAGACAGCTTATGAATTCTTAGTCTATATCTGTGTGTAGTGTTATTGATAAATGTTTACTGTATATCAAGGGAGTTTTCCTTCTTTTCAGCAGATTTCTGGGACTATTTCTTCACGCTGGACATCAACAGTTGGTCACCATTCCAAAGTAAGACTTATCACTTACCAAAGAATGAAGTGTTTTTTTATGTTTTCATTATAGATCGGCTGTCAATCAAGTTGACCACCTTAACTCTCTTGGGGTTTTCATGTGTAAGTTTGCTATCTAAATTATCGCTTTTGGGTTTTCATGATCAAATTTGCATATAAACTTAAAAATTACAATAAATTAATTTTTATATTGGCATATGAACGTTAGAAACGCAAGACATCTGTGTGATCTGGTACCTAAGTAGACTGCCTTTAAGGTTATGTGAATGGCCACACAGTCACCTTCTTGGTTCAGCATCACAGGATGTCACCTGGACCTACATTTCCCACCATTTTCTCGTGGCTTCTGCTAATTTTTTGCTCATTAGAATGATTTAATTTATTGATAACAGAGTTGCGATAGTTTTGGACCATGCTTTGTAATGCTGGCGAAGGTGGAGAGGTGGAAAAACGTAAAAAGTACAAGGAGATTACACCTTGGGTTGAGTGATAGTGTGGTGCCTCCTGAGGCAAGTGATAGTTTGTCTGGCCTTTCAACAAGAAGTCCTAATGTGAAAGGAACTACCCCACATGTCATTGTGACTAAAAGTATAAATACAAAAAGAGTGTTCACATGTGGCATCTCAGCCATCACAGTGTGGCTTACCTCGTGACCGCTCATCTCCCTCACAAGTGGCACTACCCACACTCCCACTAAAATTAAATTTAGTTGCCTTGTTCAGGGTAAGTGCAGCACTGTGGGGTACAGAGGAGGAGGGGAAAGGGTCGAGAGGGGGAGGAACATCACCAAGTGCTCCAACATCTAACATGTAAGTATAGAAATTCAGTTATTTTGTGAAAAATTTTATGTAATAGTTTTATGAATTATATTTCACCAATAACTTAAAATTATTATTTCATTTGAGTTTCGAAAATAGTAAGCATTCATAAACACATTATGTATAATTTACGTTAAAAATATAGAAACTTTGAGCGAGGAATATTCTCATTTGGGAGCTGGAGTGGCAGCCATGCACTACAATTTGTGTTATACTTACTGTACATACAGATTTAATAATTTTATTGTGATTATCTATATAAAGCTATTTGTAAATACCTGTAATGTATTTTCAACGCTAATGCAATGACCCTGACATTTTTATCTCCAATACAGTAGTAAGCTTGCTATGACTCAATATGTACAATTATCTTCTACTGTGTAACTATTTTTTGCTAAATTTATACACTTTATAATGGAATAAAGTTAATATTGCAATCACATGAACTAACAAAGGTATAAAGTGATGTATAAGTGTTTTCATTAAGCGTAACTTTTTTTTATCTGCTCTTGCTTATGTAAAGAAATAAACCTCATCTTTTTATCTCAAATAGCAAGCTTGCAATGACGCATTACTTACAATTATCTCTCGTGTGGTGCAGTCAAGACTATAATAACAGGAAAGCTGTTAATGTAATTTGAGTTAATATCTAAACTTCTGTGTCCATCACCTAATGACACCTTGTTTTTGGTCTTTTGACCTGAACATTTAGTGAAAAACCTGTAAATTTTTTCTTCTTTTCAACAACAAGAAGGATTATACAGTATGCCCTGACAATTAGCGGACCTCGATTATTCACGGTAGATGTACCCAAGAATGTCTAAGGGTAGTTTTAAAGTTGCTGGTATTTTTGCGGCCAGGACTGGGAGCCATTTGTTCTAGAGACAGTAATTTCTTTTACCTGTATTGTATATGTATGTGTGTGTGTGTGTCTACAAATAAATAGTAATGGGAAAATCCTCTCACAAATCTTGATTTCAGCCAAATTCTATAGACATTTTAAAGTCCTGCTAAGGATCTATTTTTTTTTTTTTTTCACATAGGTGGCATTCATGTGGTGAGAACAGTTACAGGACAGCACTGTGTATTCCCATTTTTGGTGGAGGGTCGCCTTTACCACAGTTGTATCAGCTTAGGCCAGGAGGAGAAATGGTGCTCCACTGTCAATGATGCTGAAGGTCATGTCTTGGAGAAGGATTTCTGTCTCCCACATCCAAGTAAGTTGTCAATATGCTTGAAAACGTTTTCCTGACTCTTTATATCTGGCATTAATTTTTATTGAATGATGTTTGAGAATAATAATAATACATTTGTTTTTGTTTAAGATATTCGTGACATGGTTTGTATTTGACATACTCATCATCATCACTGTTTTATAGCCATTTTTCATGCTTCCATATACAGTGGTCCCTCGATTAACGAAATTTGGGTTTACGAATTAGCTCCCATAAGGATTTTCAGTTCCATTAATGAACAAAACTTCGATTAACGACAGCCTTACGAGAAACACACTTTGTTTTGCGTATCAGCTGATCGGCTAGTCTGCCAATACAGGAATTGGTTCTATGTTTACATTCGTTTCCAGTGGATCAAATATCAAGAAAGTTGTGCTCTTAAATATTTTTGCAATTTTTATATTAAAATTATTGGTCATTCTGAAATTTAGTTAACACATTAATAATATATATAGTACAGGGAACAGTTTTTGTGTGCCCTTCAGCTGATCGAATCACCCACCAGCGCTTCTCAGTTTAACTTTGTTTACAGTGGAGTGAAAATCCAGTTTGTTGGTCTCTTGAAAATTTTTGCATTTTTACATTAAAATTATTGGTCATTCTGAAATTTAGTAAACATATTGATAATATACAGTGCAGAAATTATTATGAAACACAAAGAAGGCATTAGAACCAATGCACTCTGTAAAGAATATGACATGTCATCATTGACTTCCTCTACAATCAGCTGCTTGATATGAGGGGTCTAGCGTAGGAGGGACAAACTCGCCAGTCCCCCAAAATCTGTTTTCTATGGTTTTAGAATTTTCCAGGCTTTGTCTTTCCTACTGTGATGACAGGAAGTGGCGAGTTCGTCTCTACTCCCCATTATTTTTGTATGGCGCTGTAATTTTACAGTTTTAAAATTTCTTTTGTGCGTTTACTCAAAACTATGATTTGGCGAGTTCGTCCCTCCTACGCTAGACGCCTCATATGTAAACAAAGCTTCCAGGAATATGACATACACACCTCAAAGTAAGTTAAAATGCAGTAATCTATTGTTTTTTATTTATTATTGTACAGTATACTGTCCAGTATAGTACTGTACAGTCAACCCTCACTTTACGTGGTCCCACATTCCGCGTTTCCACGTTTACACGGTGCCCTGCCAGAACCCAGGATGCTCACATTCCGCGGTGGGTGTACCCCTTTACACGGGTGAAGTATAATTTTTTTATTTAGCTCATAATATTCATACAAATTATCCGGCCAGAATATAATTTACATTGCTGGAATTCTTACAATTTGATGATCATTTTGAATATAAACATCATAGATTTTGCATTAGACATACAAATTTTAGATATAATGTTTACTCTGAGTAAATATGTTATCTTTTGTGCAAAATATATGACATTTATATTCAAAATATTCCTGGTCTTACAAGGAATCCAGCAATGTCAATTATATTATCCTAACTTTAGTCTGATTTATTATTTATTACTAAAAAGGTAAACAGTCTGGTATTCCCACACATTCATCTCGTAGGGAGGGAGGGACCGGCGACCGACCACCTGGCACCAGGGTGTGAAGAATATATTTTTTTTTTTATTAACTGAAGATATTTGTTTTAGCTCATAAAATTCATACAAATTACCCGGCCAGAATATAATTTACATTGCTGGAATTCTTACAATTTGATGATCATTTTGAATATAAACATCATATATTTTGCATTAGACATACAAATTTTTAATATAATGTTTACTCTGAGTAAATATGTTATCTTTTGTGCAAAATATATGACATTTATATTCAAAATATTCCTGGTCTTACAAGGAATCAAGCAATGTCAATTATATTATCCTAACTTTAGTTTGAGGTATTATTTATTACTATACCTGGTTTTCCCCCCAAAATTTCTCAGAGAGGGAAGAACCAACGAGTGTAGTGTGAGAAGAGGGGGAGGGAGTTGAGTCCATTATTTGAATGGACATAAACTTGGCGACTGTATTTCTCTATTTCTCTTAAGTATTAATTGTGTGCATGTACCATCATAAAATTAAGATGTTATTTTTACTAGAACATAGGTATTGTGTTGGAAAAAGTGGAGTTTGGGGGTCAGCTGGTCTCTATTTCATTTAATCCCATATGTTATGTTATTCACTTTACGCGTTTCTCACTTTCCGCGGTACCCTGTGGGTTACATTAACCGCATAAAGTGAGGGTTGACTGTACTGTATTTAGTTTATATCTAATGTTTTGTTAATTCTATTACTGGTATACAAGCAGCCCCGACTTACGAATGGGTTAGGTACCCAATTCCAGGCCATAAGTCGATTTGGTCGTAAGTCGAAAATGCAAAAATAATACATATAAAATATAAAATGGGTGTCTCTTTTTTTTCTTAGCACCACAAAACTCCCACTTTTAAGCTTGCCAGCCATTTTAAAGGGAATTACAAACGAAAATTTTGTCAGTACACAGCGCATTCATTAACGCCGGGACTCGAAAATACGTAATTTGAAAAAAATTGGGTGCAACTGGGGCGGTCGTATGTCCGGGTGGTCGTAAGTCGAGTAGGTCGTAAGTCGAGGAGTAACTGTACAGTACTTTGTATGTATACTTTTTCTGTGAGTTGGAACCAATTACCCAATATCCCATTGAAATAATAGATTCAGTTCACAAAATTTTTGGTTAACAACCAACTCTGTGGAACCACTTGTGTTTGTTAATCGAGGGACCACTCCATATATATATATGGAGTACAGTCTGTACTCACCCCTGAAGATGTGAATTACACGAAAGCGCTTGGGAACTAAGTGTTTTCTTCTTTCCTTGTGGTTATCAGCATATACCTAGATCAGGTGCACCTACAGTGATTTACTTGCATATATATACATATATATAATTTTGTCCCGCTTAAGCGATATCTGCCTTAGCGGGATCCACCTTAATCAGGTTTTACTGTGTATGTACAGTATATTGTGTACATGAACATTAACAGAAGTTCTTACTTAGTTCTCAACAATTACAGTCTCAGAATTTTTTGCTCCATTGAGAATCTTGTCTTCTAGGCGTGTCCACTTATGAATTAGAGTATGTACTGTACTTTACATTAAAGGTTGAATATTATAATGAGTCTTCTTAATGTGGCACAATTTGTAGATGCCTTGTCTGTTCATGTGTCCATCTGTTTAGCAGTTTATGCTCACCATTGTTAATTTTTTTAATCATTAAGGAAACCTCAACCAAACTTATTAGAAAAATACAGGTGTAATTATGTAATATGATTAGACAAGGTTTTGCATGTAACAACCATGTTTCTGCATGAAAACCTAGGATCACAGACAAAAGATGCATGACTGCACCTATCCACTCTATGCATACATTGACTTATCACTTTCCACCACTTTTTAATTGTCTTAATGGGCATATTTTGTGTCTTTAGTAGAGTGCTCGTGTTTCTTTGGTTGTTGAATTACTGCCTTACTTTTATAAAACAGAATCTGTACACCTTGTAAGAACAACACAAGGGGAGATGTGTGTCCCTTTCTTGCATGATGGGGTCCTGCAGACAGGCTGTGTGAGGGTGGAAGGGGAGGCTCACCCATACTGTGCTACAAAGGTTAACAACCAGGGACTGATGCTTGTGAAACACAGCTGTCCTGATGACTGGAGTGAGGAGTGTTGTTACTTTTTCTAAGTCACTCATGAACCAAGGGTACTGTAGATATTTTTTGTTGTTATAAAGGAAAAATTATTATTATTATTGTTTGTGGATTGTATCATTATCATTATTCAGTACTGTACTGTATTATTATTATGGTGTTATTATTATCATTATCAGTACCTATACCAACTCAGTACACATTCAGCACATGGAGAAGCACTTCTACTTCACTTCCTTCCTGGTCTCTGAGCACTTCGCCTATGCTGTTGACTAGTTTGTCAGTTTCACTTTTACTGAAGCTCACCCATGAGCTATCATTTGCAAATTCACTCAGTAAATCAACCATTTCTTCAACCTCTGATTCCCATAATATTTTACTTATTTTCCTGAGTGTCAAGGAAACATTACAGCTGTGAAGGGTCTTTCCACATGGCAGATCACAGGAAATGCTAGTAACTTCCTCCATGATGAGGAAGGAAAAGTTGCCATGGTTCACAACAATACACTTGAGCAGAAATTAGGCACTAAATTTAAGAATTATAGTAAACCCTCGATAACTTGGCACATATGAGGCTCTGGCCTTGCCAAGTTATCCCAAATTCCGCCTTATCGAGGCACTTTCCTCCCACAAAAATACGACAATAAAAATTATTGGCCCATATATGTCTACATGTAATTACTAAATGGTAGGTGACACAGAGGCATGGTAGGTGACACAAAGGCATGGTAGGTGGCAGAGGCGGCCAAATATGCCAAGATAATTTTATATATCTCGGCATTTCCCGAGTTATACTATAATACAGTACATGCCGAGTTATATGAAATTCCGAGTTATCAAATGCCGATTTATCAAGGATTTGCTGTATGGTGCAACATATTCCCGATTATACAGATGATCACCATCAGTGTGGGACAAGAGGCACTCATTATCTATTTACGATAGCCGTCATTGAAGGTTAAATGTGACTCATTTATTTCCTTATGGAGTTCAGAGGCTTTGGATTTGGTTGTGACTTTTAGACATTGACACAGTATTCTGAATCCAGAAATTTGCTAACCTTAGTTTTATCTTGTGTACCTCTTCCTTACGGCCAGATGAGACAGTGATACAGGTTCCAGTTGACATTGATGACTCTTACAATGATCTAGGTAAGCTATTATCAGTCATTCCTCAACCCCCTTTCTTTTCTTTTTTAATATCCACCTCATTTCATCTTGCATACTGTTACTCTCCTAGTCCTTCCTTCATCCCCGTATCTCCCTCATTATCATCCTTAGTTTATCTTTCAAGTACTGGACTGTACTGTGCTGTGCTGTGCTGTGCTGTGCTGTGCTGTGCTGTGCTGTGCTGTACTGTACTGTACTGTGCTGTGCTGTGCTGTGTTGTGTTGTGTTGTGTTGTGTTGTACTGTACTGTACTGTACTGTACTGTACTGTACTGTACTGTACTGTACTGTACTGTACTGTACTGTACTGTACTGTACTGTACATCACAGCACATGTTGTTGTGTGTGTTTTTACTTGGATGACGAGGTTGCCAAGTCATCAGGTTCAACTTTAGCTGAAGCTGTAGAACATAAAAACCTTTTCTGTATTGTTTTTAGTTTTTATTTAACTTTATCTGTGTTATTTTCGTTGGTTTATTAGGATGTTGCTTTATTACAGGTAGTAATTCGCCAAAAAAGTAGGGTAAATAAGGCAAAATTTAGCCAAACATCGAAAGTACCAGACTCAAATTAATTTTCTCCATAGGAAGTTGTATTTAAATTTGGAAGATTTTAATTTTGCAAGGTTTTTACAGTTTAAATGGGTGTCCAAATATGAGAGCCTACGTATAAAGAAACAAACAATCCTGCATTTTGAGACCAGCAGACAACCTTTAGCAATTCCTCAATAGATGGCGCTGCCGCATCACTGCCATTAGTAAACAAACCTCACAGCAGCAAGGGTTTATTTTTATTTTTTTCGCAATATATCAACAATATTAGTTAAATCAATACTTGTAATTGTTAAGTAATGAGGTAACAGTCTTTGTAAGGGGCTGATTTCAGTTGACCCTAAGAAAACCTCTGCTATCAACTAGCGTCCTGGAAGACGCATGGTAATTTTCAAGGTACTGTATATTTTTGTCAGAAAAAGTGCGTCTTTTTCAGCCCAAAAATTCGGTAATACGTAATACAGGTGCTCCCCGACTTATGATGGGGTTAGGGACCCAAATCCAGGTCGTAAGTCCGAAATAGATAAAAATAAATAAAAAATAAATAAATAAAATAAAATTAAAAAAAAAAATCCAATTTTTTTCAAAAAAATAAAATAAAAATCTACAATGAAATACAGTACTGTACACTAAACGTAATAAATAATGAGGAATGGATACAGTACAGTAAAAGTAATAAATAATGAGGACTGGATACAATGTGACTGAGCACTTACCTTAAATGTAGTCAGCTGAATGCACACAGGGCCAACATAATTTTCTATTTACAGGATACATGGAGACTATATTATTTGGAAGAAGTAGAAGAGGAGACAGGGCTGGGTGGGTCATCAATGTCACTTTCTTCAGACAGGTTTATGTGCTGTGGAATCTTGCTGGTTGAAGGTATTGGATCATCTTGAGGGAGTGAAGAGGCAGCACTGGTGGGGCGTGAGGAGACAGCACTGGGGGACTTCTTGAAATAGATGTCCAATTTAGACTGCACAGTTTGCTTTTTCTTTTCATTATAAATTTCTCTGTAGCAAGCAAGTGCATCTTGGATCATTCTGTCAACATTGGCATAATGCTCATAATTTTGATCCATGCCATCAAACATTTGCGTTGCTTTATTAATTGTAGCAAATGCTTCTGCCATGTGTTTCACTGAAAACTTTTTGGGGGGTGCAGGTTCTTCTTCTACATTTTGTCTCTCTTCTTCCTCTGCAATTTTCTGTGCATCTAGTTCAATAAGATCCTCGTTACTGAGCTCTTCTGCTACACTTTCAACCAACTGTCCAACATCTTCATTATCAATTTCTAACTCCAGCTGTTTACCTAGCTCCACTATCTTGTTACTAATATCCGAAATACAGTCAACCCTCACTTTACGCGGTTAATGTAACCCACAGGGTACCGCGGAAAGTGAGAAATGCGTAAAGTGAATAACATAACATATGGGATTAAATGAAATAGAGACCAGCTGACCCCGAAACTCCACTTTTTCCAACACAATACCTATGTTCTAGTAAAAATAACATCTTAATTTTATGATGGTACATGCACACAATTAATACTTAAGAGAAATACAGTCGCCAAGTTAATGTCCAGTCAAATAATGGACTCGACTCCCTCCCCCTCTTCTCACACTACACTCGCTGGCTCTTCCCTCTGAGAAATTTTGGGGGGAAAACCAGGTATAGTAATAAATAATACCTCAAACTGGATTCCTTGTAAGGCCAGGAATATTTTGAATATAAATGTCATATATTTTTCACAAAAGATAACATATTTACTCAGAGTAAACATTACATCTAAAATTTGTATGTCTAATGCAAAATCTATGATGTTTATATTCAAAATGATCATCAAATTGTAAGAATTCCAGCAATGTAAATTATATTCTGGCCGGGTAATTTGTATGAATTTTATGAACTAAAACAAATATCTTCAGTTAATAAAAAAAAATATATTCTTCACGACACTATCTGTCAATCAAAGAACCCCACCTTGCCTCACCCCCCCTCTTCCAACCGAGCCAGATGGTCAGTCCGTCCCAACCCTTCCCCCCCACCTCCCACCAACCCTCCCTTCAAGAGAAAGGGTGGGTGAAAAAACTAGATTTTAACATTTAGTATTAAATAATACCTCAGATTAAAGTAAGGATAATATAATTGACATTGCTGGATTCCTTGTAAAACCAGGAATATTTTGAATATAAATGTCATATATTTTGCACAAAAGATAACATATTTACTCAGAGTAAACATTATACAGACAGACCCCGACTTACAACTGCTTCGACTTACGACCGTCGGGACTTACGACTGCCTCAGATTTTTTATTAAATTTTTTTTTTTTTTTTTTTTTTTTTTTTTTTTTTTTTTTTTCCTCAAATGACACACGCATTTTCTATACCGAAACGTTTCCAGTTAATGTAGTCTCCATGTATAATTAGAAAATTATGGGGGCCCCATGTGCATTCAGCTGACTACATGAAAGGTAAGTGCTGTCACACTGTAACCATTCCTTATTATTTATTACTTTCACTGTACTATATCCATTCCTCATTATTCATTACTTTTACTGTACTGTATTTCATTGTAGATTATTTATTTAAATTTTTTTTTTTTTTTTTTTTTTTTTATCTCTGTCGGACTTCGACCTGGATTGGGTCCCTAACCCGTCGTAAGTCGGGGTCTAGCTCTAAAATTTTATGTCTAATGCAAAATATATGATGTTTATATTCAAAATGATCATCAAATTGTAAGAATTCCAGCAATGTAAAGCCATAATTCCTGATAATAAATAATAAATCAGACCTAAGTGGAATGTCATATATTAAAAAGATAACATATTTACTCAGAGTAAACATTATATCTAAAATTTGTATGTCTAATTCAAAATCTATGATGTTTATATTCAAAATGATCATCAAATTGTAAAGAATTCCAGCAATGTAAATTATATTCTGGCCGGATAATTTGTATGAATTTTATGAGCTAAATAAAACAATTATACTTCACCCACTAAAGGGTACACTCACTGAGAATGTGAGCATCCTGGGTTCTGGCAGGGCACAGCGTGACCCGTGGGCTGGAATGTGGGACCCTGTAAAGTGAGGTTGACTGTAACTTCATTTTCATTAAATCCTTTGAAACTGTTCACATATCTTTTCAGGATTTTCTTCCATATTCCATTCTTGCAATGTTTTGTAACCTGATCCCATGCTGTACTAATGTTCTTTATACATGTTGTACTCCTTCCAAAAACTGTCTGAGCGTTTTCTCACCTTCAGTAGCGCAACAGCCTGAGCGGAAGGTCGTGCGTAATAAAACGCTTTAAAAACCAATAGCACCTTGATCCATGGGTTGGATGACAGAGGTAGTGTTAGGTGGAATGTACACTACCTTAACATCAGGGTGCATGTCGTCCAGGTGTGGTGGGTGTCCCGAGCATTATCCAAAATCAGTAAAATCTTGAATGGAATCCTTTGTTGCAGACAATACTGTACTCCTTGGCTGAGGAATGAAACAAGTCATGAACCAATCCTCAAACAGTACTAGGGTCATCAGGCTTTCTTGTTACTGCGATAAAACACTGGCAGTGTGTGCTTGCTGACATGTTTAAAAGCCCTTGGGTTCTCTGAATGATAGATCATGAAGGGCTTTAGCTTGAAACCAGCAACATTCCCCCTACAGAAGTGTAATACTGTCATGAATGCCTTGAATCCGGGCATTGTTTTGCCTCTTTGTGGATGTATGTCCGCTCAGGCATGCGTTTCCACAGTAATCAGTCTCATCCACATTGAATATTTGCTCAGGCAAATAATTCCCTTCCACAATCACATCATCTAACTTCTCCTTAAAAGCTTCGGCGCAACAACATCGGCACCACCTGCCTCTCCACTCACATTAACATTGTGTAGACTGTAACGTCTTTTAAATCTATCAAACCCACGACTTCCTGTAAAGGTTTGATCACATTCATCTCCTGCCTGCTCCTTCAGGCTTTGGAACAGGCTTCTTGCTTTAGCCTGTATGGTTAAAACGCTTAAGTGCGGCGCTTCTGTATCTGGTCTTCTATCCATATCACCAATAATTTTTCCATATCGTGGATAGGACCTTGTCTTTTCTTTTGATATTATAGTTCCTTTATAGGTGTTGTTCCTTTCACTACTTCACGAATCGTTCCTTGTCCTTCAGAATAGTGGATATAGTCAGTGTGAAACCAAGGTCGCGTGAGATCGTTGCTACTGTTTTCCATTCTCATACTGTGTTATTATCTTCAGTTTCATCTCAAAAGTAATTGCCTGTCTCCTTTTCTTGGGTACCACCAGCACTCTCACTTTTACGCTTTCCAGTCATTATAAAGTCAATTAAATACAATAATAACGAAAGTTCTGGCGATCAGTATAGGATACGATAGCCAAACACAAACGCGCTCCACTGGTGAG